TTTACTTTACTTTACTTTACTTTACTTTACTTTACTTTACTTTACTTATTGCCATTGCACCTCGTACAACGGAATCGAACACTATTTTCAGTGCATATTACGGCCATGAAAATAAACACAAACACACATCCTTCACACTCCACACATTGAATTGAAAACCCCTGACACTGTACCAACACTGCACTATACAGTAGAATTCAAAAGAGCTACTGCCCTGGGATAGAAGCTGTTTGTCAGCCTGTTTGTCCTTGTTTTTATTATTCTGTACCGTCTGCCAGATGGTAATAGTTCAAAAAAAGGGTTCCCAGGATGAGATGGATCTTTGAGAATGTTTTGAACTTTCTTAAGGCAGCGGGAGCTATAAAGCTCTTAGTATTAGTAGTCACTTTTTCAAAATTATCACTGGATTTTAACAGCTATTGCGACAACACTATAAAAGGACAATATATTGACACCAACAAACTATCATTGCAAGTTTATTAATTGCCTGATTTAAGTACTGCTGCTAGAATATACATTTTCCATAGAACTGAAGGCCTACAGGTAGTCCTTAATTTACAACTAGCCCCTTAATGACCATTCAAAGTTGCAATGAATCCCTCCCCGCCCCCCAAAAGCTACTTACGGCCCAGTTTTTAAGTTCCATCATTACCCTCCCTCCCTTGTGGTCACATGACTACATTTTGGGCGCTTGGCAACTGGGCCACATTTATGGCTGTTTGCAGTAAGCCATAATCATGTGACCATGATTTATGTTTTTGCCAGGAGCCGGTATTTACTTCCAGTTTCCAACAAAATCCATCCCATAGTGAATAATAGGTTCACTTAACAACCACAGTGTTCACTTAACAACTGTATTTGTTTAATTACTGCCACAAAAAAGGTCATAAACATGGTGACCTATTTTACAACCCTCATGACTTACAATCATAATTACCAAGCTCAATTATGGTCGGCTGTAATTCAGGGACTACCTGTACTTCCAAGAATGTGGCTCACCTGCCACATTGTGAAGTGAAGTAGTAGCCAATTTCATCTAAAGTCCATCATCCAGCCCCATAGGAACACAGAGAACAGAATCCACAAGTGCTTAATAGCATCACTAGAATTGTAGAAAACCATGACACTTTTAATTAGTTTTCTGTGAAATATTACATTAGAATGGGGAATTAGGGAATTGGGTGCATGTATTTCTCTCTGGCAATACTAGCAATAAGTCTGTGATGACCCGGGGCGTGGCACAAAGGCAATACAGTCAAATAATAAGTAGGAGTCCCTTTATTAACATGAACTTTGCCCGCATTGTCCTGGTTACCTTCTGGTCTGGAACAGCCTTTGGCTGCAGAGATTTAAGTCCAGAAAGTTGTCAACAAAAACTTCAAGTCCAATCAAGGCAAGATAAGGTAATTAGTCCAGCAGGGCAAGAGAAGGAATTCCAGACATGAAGGAATGGCAGTAAATCAACCCAGTTGGGAGGCTACTAGGAACACAGATAACCACAGTCAACGCAAGATAAACTCATGTTTGTTTCCAGAAGCTGCCACTCTCAGCTTGCATCTCTTTTAAACTCTCTTCCCAGGTGTGCCTAATGAAGGGAATCTGAATCCTTTCTTTCCCCATAAGCCACACAACCTGTAACCCACGTTGGTCTCTTCTCTGTTCCTCCCTGTGTGCCCTAGGATGAAGAGGGGGTGGGCCTGGGTCTTCCTCTGAACTCCTCTCCCTTGTTCTACCTCTCCCCTGCTCTGCCCAGAGGGACTTTGCCCTTCCCCAGTTTCTTCCACAGCCAAAGGAGCCACACTCCCACTCCCTGTCAGTTGTTTGTCTTCCTCCTCAGATTCAGACTCCAACAGTGGCATGACAATGTCCTGAAGATATCCTGCATTTCTTGAATGAAACAGAAAGATGTAAATGAACAAGAAAGTTCAGAAATATCCTTGAAAGGGAGACAGTAAAACCTACAAGCATTACAAGGCACATCTGGAAAAAGAAACCAAAGCATCTTGTCTAATACAACCCTCCTACCCCATATGATTTCTCCAAAAAAAACAACCCTGTCTTGGTGGAGAATATATGTAGTTCAGAGTTGAGTTGTTCAGTTTTTTATGCTTTCTGAGCTTCTCTTAGCTTTCTTTGCACAGCCTGAAGGAGAAAAGAAGCAAGCATGCATGTAAGCCACAGCTAATGTTGTCTGGAGAATTCTGGGAGCTGAAGTTCACGCATCTTCAAAACACTGCTGTCCAGGCTAAATTTAAGGGAAAGCATAAATGCGGGCTTACAAAAAAAAAGGTTCTTTTATCTTGTTTCAGTTAAAACTGCAACGATTTTCTTGGCTGCACTGTTACTTCCCATACTTCTCAAACAGCCAGAAAAACACAAGAAAGGAAGTGCGTTAGAACAACGATTTTCAAACTTAGTGACTTGAAGATGTGTCGATTTCACTTCTCAGAATTGCTGGCTTTGGAATTCTGGAGGTTGAAGTTCACGCATGATAAAGTTACCATGTTTGGAAAATGTTGCATTAGAACATGAGTGGGCAACTATGGCACACCTTTACTGTGGACTTCAATTCCCAGAATTCCCCCAAAAACGCCTGGCTCAGGAATTCTGGGAATTGAAGTCCACAGGTCTGTAAATAGTTGCCATAGTTGCTCACCCCTGTATTAGAACATAGATCAGGGGTCTTCCAACTTGACAGCTTTAAGACTTGTGGACCAACTCCCAGCATTCCTCCTCCAGTCATGTTAGCTCAGGAATTCTGGGAGTTGAAGTCCACAAGTCTTAAAATTTGCCAAGTTTGAAGACCCTTGACATAGATGAACATAGACTTGAAGAGTTGAGTTTTGAAGAATCCACGAAGGTAGGCTTGGTAAAGCCGGATTAGGAAAGCCAAGTCTTGCCCTCCTTCTGGTCTTCTTACAGCGAAGGGAGTTGAATGTTGAGCCAGCTCCTCTTATGAAAAGCAGACCCTCCCCAAGAGAGCTACTGCCTCGTGTTCTAAAGCCGGGGTCTCCAACCTTGGCAACTTTAAGCCTGGAGGTCTGGCTGGGGAATTCTGGGAGTTGAAGTCCACCAGGCTTAAAGTTGCCACGGTTGAAGACCCCTGTTCTAAAAGACAGAGACACCCATGAGCACCAATGTTCTGACCACAAGACTTCTCGCCTGATTGGTTATCAATTTCTTTCTCTACATCCCATGCATCACCATCCGCCAGAGGTGCAGAAGCTTCTTGGATGAGAAGCGAAACGTCCTCAAAGAAAAACCAAAAAGCCCTGTTGCCTCTTGAAAAAAAAAAAAAAAGCACCGTGGATGACTGAGAATCTCTATAGACAAGTCACCATCCTTGGTTGCTCTGGGAGGTGGAAGGCTGTGCTGGATCGCTCTGGGGTTGCAAAGAAATTCTGACTTATGGGGGGGGATAGAGTCCCACCACCACCACATTAAAAGTAACCCTAGCTCCCGCGGAACACATCCATTGCAATTCTCAGCCGAAACCCTCCCACCCTCTCCTCCTTATTCTCTACTCCCTTTAGGAATCTGTCCCCCTCTCCTCCTT